GGGGTTCGGCCGCTTTTCCCCCAAGCTGCGTTGTGATCTTCGTCCTGTATATAAGTATTATTTGAAAAAGAAAGCAAAACCAAAATGTTTGAATTTGCTATCAAAATGCCTTGTGTGAAGGATTATTAGATTAGATGGAACAAAGCAAGCTTAAACAAGCAAGACCAGGCGACTGATCTCAAGCTCGCCTCCTATCTCCACATGATACGATATCACTCCATGATCCATCACAAGCCGTAATCAGGACGGTATCTATATCTATCTCCCACTTTCATTGAAAGCAATAGGCTCATTCGCACGAGTCCCTTCACTTTCAGTAGTCACAATACGAGTAGATACCCTTTGCAGTGTTGTGATTATCAATCACCTCCGAGCAAAAGGGCAGGTCATATCGATATCATCAACAATTATTTATAAACTTTTGAGGACAGGATACTAATGGTGAAGCTTGAAAATGAGGCTTCAGTTCAGATCAAATTAATAAAGTATGCCCAGATCACTTCAAGATTATGCGATCCAGGACGGTGTGTCTAAAGAGTTTCGAGCATTCTCCACCGACTTGGTTTTGTTCTGAATGTTGGAGTTGTTGTCGTTTTTGTTGTTGTTACTGCTGATGTTGAAGAACAACAGCCGGATAAACCAACAAAGGGCGAGAAAGACCATTCAAACTCAGTTCAGATTAACATCACTAAGAAAAGGAGGAGGACAGACGATGACGATATATTATGTTTGAAAGGAGAGAAGGAGCAAATCCAAGGAGATTACAAGGCCCTCGAGCAAACCCCAGCAGAGCACCCTCCAACCATTCACAGCTACACAGACTATCCCAGCAACACCGCCTGGCCGTCCCGCGTGCCTAAACGACGTAAACTCAAGGAGCTTAAACTCCTTGCGTAAACTCAATTGATCAAGCGCGGCCTAGACGGTCAGAGAACAGTATAAGAACGTATAGAGTGCGGCTAACCCTCTCACCTTCCTGTGTGGTCAGTCCTAGAGGAGAGCCCGGGGCGCCGTTGTCCGAGATGCTGTAGCTGTGCTCACTCTTGATGCACGGGGGCTGCATGGCGTCGGTCATCATACGGTCGTTGAGTACCGGGTCGTCCAGGAACGAGTTCAGCCAATCCGTCTCATAGCTCTCTTCTTCGGGGGTCGGGAAGCCGCTGGTCTGGAAAAGAGAAAAATAGCAAGGTCATGAGATGGCATTGCTTAAGTTAGAAATAGTTTTTAAGGCGCTTACAATATATATAACACAAGGTCATAATATTATTATGGCATTGCATGAAAATGGATTCCGAAAATACT